GTTTGTGTTTGTGTTTGTGTTTGTGTTTGTGTTTGTGTTTGTGTTTGTGTTTGTGTTTGTGTTTGTGTTTGTGTTTGTGTTGTGTTGTGTTTGTGTTTGTGTTTGTGTTTGTGTTTGTGTTTGTGTTTGTGTTTGTGTTTGTGTTTGTGTTTGTGTTTGTGTTTGTGTTTGTGTTTGTGTTTGTGTTTGTGTTTGTGTTTGTGTTTGTGTTTGTGTTTGTGTTTGTGTTTGTGTTTGTGTTTGTGTTTGTGTTTGTGTTTGTGTTTGTGTTTGTGTTTGTGTTTGTGTTTGTGTTTGTGTTTGTGTTTGTGGTTTGTGTTTGTGTTTGTGTTTGTGTTTGTGTTTGTGTTTGTGTTTGTGTTTGTGTTTGTGTTTGTGTTTGTGTTTGTGTTTGTGTTTGTGTTTGTGTTTGTGTTTGTGTTTGTGTTTGTGTTTGTGTTTGTGTTTGTGTTTGTGTTTGTGTTTGTGTTTGTGTTTGTGTTTGTGTTTGTGTTTGTGTTTGTGTTTGTGTTTGTGTTTGTGTTTGTGTTTGTGTTTGTGTTTGTGTTTGTGTTTGTGTTTGTGTTTGTGTTTGTGTTTGTGTTTGTGTTTGTGTTTGTGTTTGTGTGTGTTTGTGTTTGTGTTTGTGTTTGTGTTTGTGTTTGTGTTTGTGTTTGTGTTTGTGTTTGTGTTTGTGTTTGTGTTTGTGTTTGTGTTTGTGTTGTGTTTGTGTTTGTGTTTGTGTTTGTGTTTGTGTTTGTGTTTGTGTTTGTGTTTGTGTTTGTGTTTGTGTTTGTGTTTGTGTTTGTGTTTGTGTTTGTGTTTGTGTTTGTGTTTGTGTTTGTGTTTGTGTTTGTGTTGTGTTTGTGTTTGTTTGTGTTTGTGTTTGTGTTTGTGTTTGTGTTTGTGTTTGTGTTTGTGTTTGTGTTTGTGTTTGTGTTTGTGTTTGTGTTTGTGTTTGTGTTTGTGTTTGTGTTTGTGTTTGTGTTTGTGTTTGTGTTTGTGTTTGTGTTTGTGTTTGTGTTTGTGTTTGTGTTTGTGTTTGCGTGTGTGTGTGTGTGTGTGTGTGTGTGTGTGTGTGTGTGTGTGTGTGTGTGTGTGTGTGTGTGTGTGTGTGTGTGTGTGTGTGTGTGTGTGTGTGTGTGTGTGTGTGTGTGTGTGTGTGTGTGTGTGTGTGTGTGTGTGTGTGTGTGTGTGTGTGTGTGTGTGTGTGTGTGTGTGTGTGTGTGTGTGTGTGTGTGTGTGTGTGTGTGTGTGTGTGTGTGTGTGTGTGTGTGTGTGTGTGTGTGTGTGTGTGTGTGTGTGTGTGTGTGTGTGTGTGTGTGTGTGTGTGTGTGTGTGTGTGTGTGTGTGTGTGTGTGTGTGTGTGTGTGTGTGTGTGTGTGTGTGTCTGTGTCTGTGTCTGTGTCTGTGTCTGTGTTTGCGTTTTTGTGTGCCTGTCGCCTGCCTCACATGATTGATCTTTCCACTCCCTTGTACACATAGGTGCGCTTCTGGTAAATGACTAGGACCCAACCTGCAACCAGTGCCATCGATGTTCAGAGGCCTATGCTTGGGAAACGATCCAGCTACGGTTGCACCGAAAAAGTGAGCGACCGATACCCATTGCCTCTACGAAGCTGGCCGTTGAGGTTTATGCACCCGCCAAAATGGAGTTGTTTCCTGTTGGCGTCCCTTGAAAACCACCCAACAACAGGGGTTCCCCAAAAAAACGACGCACTCGAGCCACACCGCAATCCCAAGGAAACGCCCCCTGCTAAACTGGCCAATCCGTAGCGCCACTCGTGAAACGAGTGCTACTAGGCCCTACTAGGACCAAGGATGGGTGTTTTGAACATGGCATGTGGGTGAGCTTGCTTTGAGAGTAAGGCCCCAGAATGGTGTTCCTGTTGGTTCCTAAAAGAAGGAGGTGTTCCTTTTGGTTTCCCTTTGAAGCCACCAAAACAGGGAGTACCAACTTTTTTTTTAAACAAAAGGCGAGCCACCCATGTCAGCATCCTAATGCAGCGCTGGAAACTGGCAGGCGCCTCCTTTGGATGAAGACCAGGTCCTTGCAGTAGTTGCTCGCCAGATCCTCCACCTGCCAACTCGCGACCCGTGGGAAAAGGGCAGCCCCCCTTTTGTGGGTGCTTGCCAAAAGTTGTTCTAAAAAGGAATAGCAGGTACACAGAAGGTTGTGGATCTTCAGATCCTTTGCTAAAAGTTGAAAACTACAGCCAAAAACCTAAGGAACCGGATGGCAGGTTGATCCACCCAGCTTGGGTTGATCTCAAAGGGAAGACGCTAGACCCCCTCAAAAAAAAGGAGGAAACAAGCCAGTGGAGGTGTGATGGCTGATGCGTGTGCCCTTGTTCTTTTGGAGAGTGCATGGTTGGAGACCAATGTCATGTGAGTACCTCACAATACCACCGACCGAAAGAGACAACAAAACACAAATCAACCTAAATCAGGGGCAGTTGACTGCCCGACCCAAAAATACACACAAATGTCAACCTAAAACAACCAACGGGGCACCGCACCCCCAAACCCCATGCAACATCCTCGGCGCAGCGAGGGCACCTTCCCCTGAGGTTTTGTTTGGGTGATTAGTTCAAGCATAAGTTGTTTGGCGATGAGTTGGTTGTCCTTATTTGGGTATCAAAGGAAACCAAAAGGAACACCACCTTTTGCGGGGGTCCTCTCAAAAAAGACACACCCGTACGTTTGTTGCTAGTGTTTTTGGGAAAACACCACATGTTCACCCAAAAAGGCTCAAGGTTGCAGATCCAAGAGGACTGCCCCAAAACCGGCGCCTCTGCGAGGGTGGTCTGAATGCCGGTCCTCACAATGCACTGATCCGCACGTGGGCCGAAAAAGCTTCGTTGGATCCAAAAGGAGGGGACTGCTTCAAAGGGTTGGTGACTCATGCTGGCTGAATGCTATCCAATGAGTTGAACCTGCCCTTTGCTTCTGTTGCACTCGCCGATTCGACATTCGCCCATGCCAGCAAGTCACACCCTTGGCCAAGCCATACCTACGCAAGTGCTGCAGGCTGGACATTTTCCTGGTTGGCTTCCTGACAGACCATGGAATCGCAAATGCTCGAAACAGCCACTCGACTTCCCTCCCAATTTCTCTGTTTCGAGCCAAAATGAGCGGCTCCTTTTGGGGATCTTTGCGTCGAAAACATCATCTAGCTCAGTGGGTGTTTGTTGGTGGTTTACTCTGAAAAATCCCCACAAACACACACACACACACACAGACACACAGACACACAAACACAAATACAAACACAAACACAAATACAAACACACGCACACAGACAAACACAGACGAATACAGACACACAGACACACAGACACACAGACACACAGACACACAGACACACAGACACACAGACACACAGACACACAGACACACACACACACACACACCACACACACACACACCACACCACACACACACACACACACACCCAGCCTCACCATCAGCTACCCCGACCACCCACCCTTACCGCCCACCCACGGAAGGACATCAGGTCCTCTAAATTATGGCCCCCTTGGCTTGACGTCCAAAGCCCACTTGGCCAAAACAGGTCGCCCAACTCTTTCTTTGCCACCAAAATGCCCAACAAGCAACCAACAAGTGACTCAAGTCCGAGTGCCGGAGTGCCAGAACAAAGGCTCCCAGGAACCTGGCCCACCCAGCCACCCGCCCTCGCCCGCTGGGGCCGCCAGGCAGGTAGTGCGAGAGGGTCTGGAGCCAAAGCTTTTGGAAGCCCTGAGCGGCGCAATGGGTCGGTCGGTCGGTCATTTTTTTTGGGAGTCGGTACCGCCTCTTTGGCCGGGTGGTTTGAAGGATTTACAGCAAAAGAGAAACCGAAGGAAAACCAAACACCAGTTTGGTCCCCCAAAAAAGGCGAGCTATCCACACGCAAACTCTGTGGAGCCCATTAGGGGCCCGAAAAAGAAAAAAGAGCCACTTGGTATGACTTCATATCCTGACTTTGCTATATTTGGGGATTCCTTTAACATGGTTTCTGTACTGATGCCATAGGGTTCTGCCAGAGAAAAACCCCAGAAAAACATACCGACTGGGCTAGTGTATAACTTTTGACCCCCAGTTGTTGATTGAACATCCTGTTGCACCCCTCGCAGACAGACGGGGGGGGGGGGAGGGCTTTTCAACCCTCAATTGAGACACCGGCCCCCCGGGCTCCCCAAGCAAACGAAATAAACTTGCTGGTGCTCAGTAGGGAATGTGGGAATGAACCTGGGGGTCTCTATCGAGGAAACCACCATAAGCCCAAATGGTATTCCCAACAGCTCTCAGCTCTTGGGGAACAAGCAAAAAAGAAGAGAACCAAGCCGAGAATGGCAACTCAGGATTTTCCGCAGAATCCCTGCTTATTCTCGGGGTGTACTTGCGAAAAGTCTTGGGAATCAGACCACTTTTCGAGTGGAGCAGCCCCATTATGACATGAACAAACCGGCAGATTCCTGAACCCGGGGTCCACCAACACCCACCCGCGCCGCGTCGAAACTCCGCCTCCTTGCTCTGACAGCTCAGCAGGATGGTGTCCCCCACCTGCCGCTCGTGACAAGCCAGAGATGGATTTTCAAAGGACACCTGGGGAAGCCTCCCCACCGGGGAGGAAAAAAAAAACTGAAAAAAAGAACACTAAACCAACCACACACAACAGAAAGCCAACAAAAAACAAAAATAACATGATCCCCCAACGAGGTCCGAGCTCGGAATCTGCTTTTGAAGTAACACAGATTTGGAAGATCCCCTGTACCTTGACCCTCAGTATCAGCCACATGCAATGGACAGCCCACGTGTTACTGGCTTCGCAGCTGCGGCCGGCCGCATGCGTTAAACATCTGAGCGAGGAGCTTGTCTATCCCCGCGAATCGGTGAAGCTCGCTACAAATGGTGCAACATGTTGGCGCATCGGGAAAATGCGTTATTCAAAGGGCAACAAGGACACCAGGTTAAAACCTGGTAAGGTCAACTCTGGCTTCAAGATGACCACAGTTCATCGCGCCTAAATGATCAGAATGGGGTTGCGGGGTATTTCAAAACCATTCTGTTGTTAGTCATAGGAGTGAGCTGGCAGCAACTAATTATATATATATTTACATATATAAGTGTGTCTTTTTGAGGGTCCCTTTTTGGGCTGGCTTTAAGGGCAAGCAACAGGAAACAACTCATGTGTGAAGGTCCACCATTTCCTCAGATGAGAAAATATGTCCAGCAATCGATTTCCTTTATGCGAGACAAACCCATAAGAAGAAATCTGGGTGTCCCCTTGACTTGTGGTTTGGATTGTTCGATGGTGGCGTTGCCCCTTCACCCTCAAGAACCAAAAGTTCAAATCCCCCAACCACCAGGGATGGAAATCCATTTCGCACCTCAGAGACCCTGGTTTCGGACAATACGTTTAGGGTTTAGGGTTTAGGGTTTAGGGTTCAGGGTTTAGGGTATTATCACACCTTGATCACATGGATCAATCAAGAGGAATCCGGAGAAGGGGTGCTGACCCCCTGTGGTTTCAACCATGGTTTCCAAGTGCTGCGATTTCTGGATTTCGCAACCATCCACATCAGCTGAGAGCCCACTGCCAGCCTCAGGCACCTCCTCGGCTTCTGCCTCGGCTTCGGACACATCTCCGCCAAATAGCCGTTTGTTGGGGTATGTTATGTTGTTGAAAAACAGGCTTGTCGTGGTAAATGCCTCCCTTTTCATACCCTCAAACAAATGGTATTTGGAGTAGGGGTTACTTGGCCAAGTGATTTGGCATGTCGGAAATGGTGGGGGTTCACCGCCAAAAGTTGGAGTTTGTTGGCTGGTTTGCTTTCGCCCAGTGGAAGGTCATGCAAAGTCCTGGCGAAATGTGTCGCTATGGTACTGAATGGTAGTGTTAGGGAGCCAAAGAGAAGGCAATATGAATGGGGGTTGACATGGCTTTTGTGCACCTACACCTCTGCATCCTTTCTCTGAAAGCCTTAGGGGTGCCCTTTTTCGGTGGTCTTCAAGAAAACTCAAGGGAACACAACCATTTGGTGTGTTGTTGTTGTTTTTGTTTGGGGGGGAGGGGTCCTTCTAAAAGCAAACACACCCTTATAGACCGCCATTGGTTCCATGCCTGAGAAAGTTCTGAGGACTTGCAAAGGTTTGGTGCCCGGAAGCTCGCGTGTGAAGCAGTGGATTGGACCCCTAAGGAAAATGGTTCGGTGTCCCTTTCCAAGAGACACCCCCAAACAACACGTGTATCTATATATACTGTATAGCCGTCATTGTATATATTCTATATATGTCTGTTTTGGGAAGAAAAAAACAAATGGCTGATTTCAACCAACCAAAAAAAGGGACAAAGCTATATCCCAAAGAGACACGTGTTCTCACTTTTTACAGCGCCTCGTTCTCGTTCTCCTCAGCTTCCTCTTCTTTGCCCTCCTCACCTTCTTCCACTTCAGCTTCTGCATTCCTTGGTCGACGCTCAACCTGAAACCTACCCCCCACCGGAGCTTGGCACATGATCTAAGAATCAAAGATGGTCTGTTCATCATCTTAGTCCAGGGCCAAAATGTAAGTCATTCTAGTCCCGGGGCAAAGATGCGAGTCATTCTAGTGAAGGGCAAAGATGCAAGGGCAAAGATGCAAGTCATTCTAGTTCCGGGCAAAGATGCCAGTCATTCTAGCGGAGGGCAACAATATTCAAGTCCTTCTAGCGGAGGGCAAACAAAAATAGTGGCAAGAAATGAAAGACGTTACCAAGCCTTCACCCGAGCTTCTCTCCTTCCGCCGCCTCCGCCGTCTCGCCCTCCGGCACCTCCGCCGAAGCCGCGTCCGCGTCGGCCGCCTCCGGCGCCTCCGGCGGCGCCTCCGGCGGCGCCTCGGGCGCCGGCGGCTCGGCTTCTGCCTGCAGGGGGCTGGGAGTCCCCTTTTAAACATCACTCCAAGACAAACACGAGAGTTCGGCTCAAAACGGCAACTCGAGCAGGCGATGCCGGAAAACCACCCCAAAAATAAAGGAACGGTGAGGTTTGAGCCACCCAAAGAAAACACGGGCCCTGGCCTTCTTTTCCTCTTCATCCACCGGCAGGTCCATTGGCCTCAAAGCAAGGCTTGAGGGGTTTACAACCAAGGCTTTTCCAGGGAAATTGCGTGAGGGACATGCCCAACTACCATTTGTCCTGTTTCTTTTTTGGTTTTTTTCGAGGTGCGCCAAGGTTTTGTTTGGGTGCCTAAGGCCTTGATCCAGGTCATGGGCCCGGCTTCGGAAGAAAGTGCCCCGAAGCCGATTGGACTTGCAACAGGGCGGCAGGGCGGCACGCCCATGTCTTTCGACTTGGCGACCTGAAGCAAGTCATACACCGTGAATATGACTCCATGACTCTCCAGATCGTTTAGGGTTTAGGGTTTAGGGTTTAGGGTTTAGGGTTTAGGGTTTAGGGTCATACACCATGGATATGACTCACTCTCCAGATCGTTTAGAGAAGGCGTTCAACTCATTCCTGGAGTCCAATTCATCCTCACGCTGAAGCCACACAAGTCACACCTAGGCACGCCGTCCGTGTTCTCGCAACACACACGAGGTCCACGGGGCTTTTTCTGAAAGGGCAACCGATTGGCATCCGAAAGTAAATCTGTAGTCTCTTCTATGGACTGCCAAGCTGTACCGTGGATGGAGCACTTGTTGAGGCCCGGGTCCGCCCCAACAGACCGCCTGCGCCAGAAGGCCACCAGCTCCTTGACGGTCTTGAAGACCGCCTCTCGCGTCGGGAGTCTGCAGGTCATGAGTCATGCGATTCTGCGTCTATTGCTCGCTTCCTCTTGGCCGTCAGATAAATGCAAGCATGCATCCCAGCTCAACTGCAGGGTTGCCAGAAAATGGGAATCAAACACTGCTCCACGCAGCTACGGGACATTCACCAGACACCCACCAAAACAGAGGATTTGGGGTACTTCCCTGTGAGACTTTGCTAAAAACTTACTTGTCCAAAGCCGACCTTTTCGTTTTGGTTTCCCTGGTTTTGACCATGTTTAGTGAAGGTCCCAAAGGATTAAGCTTGGATTTCTGGGTCCTTTGGGTAACTGAGAGAAGTGTACTCTACACACTCACTCTTGCCCAGCAACGTGCTGTGCAGCAACATTGGGTTTGTCCTGTCATCTTCCCACGACCAGTCGCTAACATGGAGTGCGCTCCTTGTATTGACTGTGCTCTTGCCCCTGACATAATTTTGACATCAACTCAATGCTTGTCTCTCTATGGCAACCTATTCAAAGTGGACGACCAGTCGACTTGAACACACTGCACATGTTTCCAAAAAGCAGCTGCAAGAACATCTATACCTGTCAGGTTGCCCAACCATCATATTCCGAGCGCAAAGCCAAGACGGCTCGTGGATGTGAAGAAGCTGGACAAAAATAAAATGTCACGTGCCGCAAACGTGCCGCAAACGTCTGGTCCGGCCACCCGTGCTTGGTGGAGAGGTGAACCCCTACAAAGGACTGCACCCTCAACCCTCCAAAACACCAGCTCAAATGAATGTCTTTCCCGGAGCGAAAGAGGAATTGACGACTTGAATTCGCCATCAACTTTCACCCAAAAGCAACATCACCTCAAAAAGCAAACAGCGCTTATGACTCAATCTTAAGAACCAGACGAGGCACCCCTCGCCTCGAGCGCGGGCACCTTCTCGTCGCCCTCACCATCCTGGCGCAAGGCACAGAGTTAGAGCTCAGTGGAGCTCCCTACAAAGGTTCCAAAGCAACCTTCGTAGAAGGGCTTGTGGGCTCTGCTGGCGAAAAATGCTGCTTTTCCCACCAGGAAATTAAAACCAATCCCGAAGGGTTCCTTTGAGCCTTGTGCGGGGAGACCCGGTCCTCATGTCTCTGAGCCGTGCAAAGGGGTCGTGCAGCCTCTGTCATAGGGTTCTCACCTGGGGATTCCAATGATTTCAGCTATAGCAATTTGCCACACAATCTAACCACACGCTGATCTTAGAAACCAATCTTGACTCACTGAAAGAAATTGGCTCAATTACACCCCGAAACCTGGCCCAGTGACCAGAAAGAAGAAACAAAACAAAGGCGACTTGGAACCCCTCAAAAGGGCAGGGACCATTGGGTGGAACCCACCCAACAAAAAGGGATTCAAAGGGTGCCGCTGAAACGCGAGCAGCCTCAAGATTGAGCAACCCAAAAAGGGCAACTACCCGAAATCGAATGTGCTTTGAGACGGCATTGGATGAACATCGCGTCACAGGCGACTTCGGAAAAAGAGGTTGTGGGTGCTAGTCGATGCAGTATGCGCTCGCATGGCCCAATGGACACAGACTCATTCAAAAGGCGGGTGAGTTACACACGCCGTGGGAAGTCCTTTTGGGGAATCCCATTTGAAGGGCCCGAGCAGGGTTTCAGGGTTATCAGTCAAGGATGCATGGGGCCGGGGGAGGGGAGGGAGGGGAGGGGGGGGGGGGGGGGAGGAGGGAGGGAGCCCCTCCCCCATCCCTCCACCCAGCCCCATGATTGCAACTCCACCAACAAGCGCAGTCCAAAAGTTTCAGAAAAGAACAGCGCGGCATTTTCTTGTGACATCCTTGAAATTACCCTCATAGATGTAAGGAGACCGGGTGGGTGTTGAAACATGCTTAATCCGCAGTGTAGACTGCCTGCCTCGTTTTGGTTTCCGGAGAGCACGCGCGCCTGCCGCTCCACCCTGTACAGGTAGCCAATAACAAGGGGGACCAGAGTGGTGTCAAAACCACCCTGGAAGCCACCCCAAAAGCAAATTCTTCGAACCCCTGAAAGCATGCTTCCCTTCAGGAGCTCCAGGCTGAGAGTGAGGGTTCCTTACAGCCGACTGGCCTGTCGAGGCAACACGCTGAAGCAAATGACGAAAAAGAGACATGACTACCCCTCCTCCATGAACATGGCACCTGTAGGAGGGTACCTAAATCAAGTTTCTCTGTCGGGGACCGACTGTGAGGTACCATGTTAGCGGGAGGAAGGATCATTCGGACAACTCATCTTC